TAAACCAGGTGACTTACCAGTGGTAAATTAATTAACCAGTGACTTACCAGTGGTAAATGTATTAACCAGTGACTTACCAGTGCTAAATTAATTACACAATGACTTTAAAATACCAGTGGTAATTAAATAAACCAGGTGACTTACCAGTGGTAATTAAATAAACCAGGTGACTTACCAGTAGTAATTAATAAACCAGGTGACTTACCAGTGATAATTAAATAAACCAGGTGACTTACCAGTGGTAATTAAATAAACCAGGTGACTTACCAGTGGTGATTAAATAAACCAGGTGACTTACCAGTGGTGATTAAATAAACCAGGTGACTTACCAGTGGTAATTAAATAAACCAGGTAACTTACCAGTGGTAATTAAATAAACCAGGTGACTTACCAGTGGTGATTAAATAAACCAGGTGATTTACCAGTGGTAATTAAATAAACCAGGTGACTTACCAGTGGTAATTAAATAAACCAGGTGACTTACCAGTAGTATTTAAATAAACCAGGTGACTTACCAGTGGTAATTAAATAAACCAAGTGACTTACCAGTGGTAAATTGATTTCAATCAACTGTGCTTTGACCATGTCAACATTCTGCAATTGGAAAGGAATTTCGGCATTTATTTGTACTCTTTTAATTATTATAAAATACCCTAAAAATTGCAATTTTGTTAATATTAAAATTGCATTACGGATATGTTTCACAAGTATCAAACTATCAAAGAAGATTAAATGATGTGGTAAATGACACACAACAAAAACTCACATACAGATAGATTTTTTCATAACGCCATTATTATACTACATCCCTTGCAGTACTGTAAAATACTTTTTTTAGCTGGAATTAATTTTCGATGAAACAACATTTTTGCCGTTTTGTATGAAGTTTTTTTTTTGTCACTAATTTTGATGAGTTGAATGTAAAATATAGGAAGTAATTCAGTAATTGTTTAATTTTCAGTTTTCAAGTGCTAAGAACACAAAGAATAGTAACAATACCTGTGATGCCTGTAACTGTTGTATTCGTTTCTCGTGGTCTTTTTTCACATTTTCCAACTTCTTAATGGCTGATTTTTCCTGAGTAAGATAATAAAACAGGAATGAGCAATGCGAGTCACTAAAGAAATATTACACACTAAATTGTCTTTGGCCAAAACAGATAACAAGAAATGAAGATAATCAAGTACAATAAGCTTATTTTTCAAGCAATCATCACCATGAACACACAGTTATCATGCAATTTCTAACTCTTTATTCCCAAGAAAATGTATATAAGCAGTGTATCCACGTACCTGTTGTAATGCTTTGATGTCAAGCTTTTGTGTCCCCATTTGAGAGAAAAATTCATCAACAGCCTGGGGAAAATATCAATAAACAACTGATATTATTATCAAAGGAGAGTGACAAGTTTGGCAAATTGTAACAGGCCATATTTAATATTTAAATGTTGTCAAAGTGGTAATAAGAAACAAAAAATTTGTAAAATCCCTAACTCTGCCAATCACAAGCTCAAAGTGTTCCACATTATAAAGCGACACGGTCTGCAAATATTTACTTTTTTTTTGTTACAAACATTGACCTAAAGAAAAAACACTTAGAAATGATTAGTAATTGATACACAAATGACAGAAGTGTGTCTATAATTTGTGTGCACTTAATCGATAAGTACTGTGAGAAAGTATTTACCTTTCCAAATGATTCTAATTCAATATATAGACTTTTTTGATGCTGTTCAAATAACATTGGATGATATTCAGCATATCTGAAAAATAAGGTATAAATATGAAATGTGAAAATAGAACAATTATCATAACATAAACTATGGTAATATTCACCTAAACTAGTAGAATTATTTATTCATATTAAACCTACGTTATTAACTCTTCCGGGACATCTCCTGATAATTTTGATGTCTTTTTTTCTTTTTTTTGAATGACGTAACCCTAGAGTTAATAAGAAATACAATAAATCACTTCAATTTCAGAAAACAAATTTAAGAATTCTAAATTCATGAACCATGAACTTTTGTAGTAAACAATGTTAAAACAAACAAAACCTAATTCCCAAATGGACTCAGCTTTGTTAATTTCAACATTACCTCTGATTTGATATTATTGGTGAATATGTTTCATTAGATTTGTTCATTAGATTACATTAAACTGCAGGAGGAATATATGGTTGTGAAAAAGTCAAAAGATCTTTCCATCAGAGTGTACTACCTTTGAAGGCGATTCAACTATCTTTTTGAGAACATTTTCCATATCTTGCAATGCTGCCATTATTCTTGGAAGATCTGTGATAACAAAAACAAAAAAAGAAATGGATGGCAATTATAAGAAAATTTATAAAAACTCAGAAAGATTATGGTTTGATGTAAAGAATTGGTATCTCACCTGTAGAAATATCCACATTTTGTCCAACTTTACAACCATCATCAAACCCTTGTTTTAACAGACAATGCTCAATGACTGAAGGACCACAAACTAAAACAAAAAGAAAACATGAGACACACTGCAGATAAAAATAAATGTACACAATGTTTTCTACCAACATATGTGAAGACAGTTTTCAAACACTTCTTACTACTTCTGTTATTTTGATTTCAGTCTGTTCACCTCAATGTACACACTGTATATGAAATAGTAAGAAACCAAAATTTAACACCACTATTCATGTAGATTTCCCAACACGTCACATAGCATTCATAAAAGTCACATCAACTCACCTAAATGGGGATTCAGAACTCTCTTCAGTTGATCACCATCTTTGGCAGCAACTAAGATGTCATGCAATCTATTAAAAACATACATAACATGCTTTTCATCATTATTTTAATAAATTATCAGGTACAAAATGAAATTAAACGATTATTACCGGTATCTACGCTATTTAAAATTAAATGCAAAGTGAAAGTATTCAAATGAATTGCAACAAAAATCCACTCTAAAAATCCCTTTTTTCACATTACTATTATACATACTTTTCTATTGACAGCACTGGTTCAGGTTGTTTAGCACTTTCTAGTGGATATGGCTCCCGAACAGCAAACTTCACATCCTGACTTTGATCGGTTCTCACCCTCAGCAGATTCAATATTGTATATTGATGATCTGTTAACACTACATTACCCTACAAAGGATCGTACAATAATTGAACTTCTGTAATATATCATGTCAGACCAAAGCAAGTAAATACCACCAAATAAACAGTATGGTAAATACTACATCAAATAAAAATAAACACGTACTGCTTGCATAACTCGAATCGTCACTCGTGTACGGCACCTAATATAACACATGTGATAACACAGACTGACCACCATAAGAAAATGTAAGGAAAACTTTTCTGGTAGATTTATTGAATACAAGGTACCCCGGTAATATGGAAACAATTTTGAGAATGCAGCAGAAATAATGCTTGAAATAAATGTCCACACATGAAAACTGCCCAGTCCTTACCCTATCATAGAGTTCAACAATGAGATGGTAGGCTGCTTCCTCTTCGCCAAACTGTAAATCCACAATTCTATCAACTCCTAACTGTTCCACCTTTACTAATCGCCTTCCTCGCAAGTGTTTACGCAACTTCATAGAAAACCCAGATGGCATAGCATTCTTAGGCCAATCAAAATCCGTACACTGGATTCGTTGCCCAGACTCAAATAATAGGGCATCTTTCACATCAGGTCTGAGAAAAAAGTAAATGAGACATATAACACCAGAGTTTAATATATTTGTACAACTAACATACGTGAATTTCCTGATTTTCTGTTCTGGTCAATGACAATACTGTAAAATTTCACTGATTAACCACTTCAGGCATATTCAGTGGGTTATAAATTCACAGTTTAATCATTTTAGATAATGTGTCCTATGCTCAATTGTGCATAATCACTTGGTTTTAATTTAGCGCATTTTCCAGTCAGCGAAATAAGCAAATTTAAACCCATTGACTAATTAACCTTTAAAAGTTGTTGTAAGGTAAGTTTAGTTTTCCATAGAGTTGGACCTGGCATGAAAAATACCATTATCCTGGAGTGTATTATTCTACTACTGGTACTAGATTGCACACACCAATATCTGACTTTGATATATTACATCCAACTTACTTGGCAAGTCTGATGAGGTAAGTTTTATTGTCAAGATCATAGACATTCAATACTCGAAGGCCAATTAACCTGAGAAGAAGATAGAAGATTCAACAATAGATTAAACATAAATGCAACACGGCGAATTACAAGATAATTACCACATCGCAAAACAAACTGTTATGAAATTCTAATGCAAATTAGTGAGTCTGTGAAAGAACTGATCAGTTTTTCATTCTCAGATGATTTTTTTGTAGTGATACAAAATGCATGAATAAAGTATTGTGCATTTTTGAATGCAGTGTAATAATCACTCGTTTCTGTTTGCGCAAACAAATATTTCCAAACTCCCACTGCATTCTGCGGCACTATTAGTTAGCAATATGTTCATTGAACGTACACAAAATGGGATCACTTTTAAATGCTCGCTTCTCTGGAATCTTCCCTGCATGTCAACATACATGGTTATAAAAGTTGCACACATGTAACCTTTAGACTTATAAGACCACCACGAAACCATAATTTATGATTGAATTAAATTACAATCATATATAGGAATGTAATTTAATTACAATTTAAATAACTCAATTACATTGCGATTCTATATAGGGTTGCGTTTTAATTGCATTTAATTTACAACATTATACAAGTTGTAACTTGATTTATACTTGGTTAAGAAAAAGGGTAGCCCTATGTACATGGACTGTGTATCAGAAGCATAGTATCATAATACGAACAGGCGACCCCCCCCCCCACCACAGAGGCATTGTCTTGCCCTGATCAACATAGCGCAATACATGGATGAAGGCTGTGAAAGGGGCAGGTATGGTAAAGGTTATTTAAACTACCATACCTAACCCGCATTAAATATTAATAAATCACAAATCAAGAATTGCAATTAATGGTGGCAGTCTTATAAATTAAACTACCGTATAAAATAAGTTTACACCGGTATGTACTCATCCCATCCATACACCACTTGGCATGTGACTTTAAGGCAGGGTAACATGTGACTCACAAAAGTTGCAACACATATTGCAAATTACAAAGATAAAGTAAAAATAGAAAGAATTTATTTATTGTCGTCCAGACAACAATATAGGAAGAAAACAATTGAAAGATGTTGAAAAATGATTTGTTTTTAACAATTGTAGACCTTTGTATGTAAACACGTCATCCATGTACATCATGTTCATTGCGACGACACTAACAATGTGTTATATATAATCGTAGCTTGTTGTCCACTTGAAACGAACTTTCTTTCACGCAGTTTCTGTGTGAGATAGATGAATGTGGTTTTGGTGACGGATTAAATGAGCCAGTTGACAGACAGGCCAGGAAAGTTTTAAGCTTTGGTCTCGACGACACTCACTCGATACTGACTCGGTTCTACAGAATATAGCAATATATCACTCACTCACGAATCGAACCACATTTTTTTCTTATTTACCTTGCTCTTATCTCTGGAATAATTGCCAAAATGTCGAATGTTGTGAATCTTGCCTTCATTTTAGACAGAAATACTAGCATATACGTCGAATATGTATCCTCGCCATGTTATTTACACTCCGGAAACAGGAAATGCACTTTGACCTTACGTTCGCGCATTGTATCACGGTACAGTACTTGACTCTTACCTTGTCCCACGGGTATTTCTTCATGTGCACTAAAAATGCGAAAAATTCCAAATGCTGTTACGGTACTCAAGCGAGACATTGAGGGAAAAAATGCATGTAAGGTGTTGCAGAAATGAAAATAAAAATGCACTGGTCATCAGTCCCTTTGATTTCATGTGGTTGACTGTTTAGGACCATTAATAGAAACTCTGGATGGATATAGTAGCCTGACAAGGTCATGTGAGATGCACCCTCCAAACCCAACAGTGAGATCTGATGCAATTCGGTTGGCGAAGGATCCACTCACGCCTACATGTAAGGCTAGAGGGATAGCAGAATTATTAAAAAAAAATCTGCTTGCCTGTTTTTTTGGAAAAAAATATTACACACATTGAAAATAAAAACAAAATTACAGTGAATTTAGTCACTAAGAAAATTATTTCCATAGTTTTTCTGCCATTGCTTCATTGTTCACATCAGTTTTGAGACAGATGCAGTTACAGTCGTATGTGTCTAGTGCTCAGTGGTTTTGGACTGGGTCCTGTTTTGAATTTTGTTGATGCATTAATCAAACTGACAACATGCTTGTTGAAGTGAAATATCAATGCAGAATAGAATAGAATAGAATAGAATAGAATAGAATAGAATAGAATAGAATAGAATAGAATAGAATAGAATAGAAAATTGGTTATTATTGCTTCTGTCAGTACTTTCTTGTATCCATTGTATATGTTGGCAGGGAAACACAAAACTCCATCATGTGAGCAGTAATGGAACAGAATGGTAAGAAACATTGTTTATATAAACAGATCAATTTACAACTATATTCCGCATTGGCAATTTATACTTTCACAATCACCCAACAGGGATGTTATGTATATGGGTGACTGTGGTTGACATTACATAAATTAGAATTCTTAAGAATCAAGTTCCACAAAAAAAAAAATCCCACAATGTATGTTGTATTTTACCCATAATGGACTTGAGGTACCGGGTAATGTATTTTAGCTAAATATACCTACACTGTACTTTAAGCTAATTTACCTACACTGTACTTTTAGCTAATTTACCTACACTGAACTTTTAGCTAATTTACCTATACTGGACTTTTTAGCTAATTTACAGTATACTGTACTTTTTAGCTAATTTTCCTACACTGTACTCTTTAGCTAACTTACAGTACACTGTACTTTTTTTAGCTAATTTACCTGCACTGTACTTTAGCTAATTTACCTACACTGAACTTTTTAGCTAATTTACCTACACTGTACTTTTTAGCTAATTACCTACACTGTGCTTTTTGGCTAATTTA